AGAGAGAGAGAGAGAGAGAGAGAGAGAGAGAGAGAGAGAGAGAGAGAGAGAGTGTGTTTGTGTGTTAGCGAGGAGCGAAGTAGAATCGACGAGACGCGCTGCTTGTTGATAACGACTCGATTGCTGCGGGTAATCCTTCGGGCGAGGCAAAGTTAATACGAGCGCAGCCGCGCGCGCGGCTTCACACGTTTCTCCTCCTGGCGTTGTTGCTCTTGTCCTTATCAGATATACAGGCGAGGATCACAGGTCAGAAGGAGCTATACATTAGGAAAGGCAGCACAATCAGCCTGACCTGCACCATCGAGCTGCAGGATCTACCCCCGAGCAACGTGACCTGGTACCATGCAGGCGCGGTGATCGATTTCGACGGGCCAAGGTACGAGGAGTCGGCCGGCGATTAAGCTCCGCGGCGCGCAATTAGCCGCGCAATGGAATCATTGTTCAATGGCATTATTGCGGACGATCACGCGTAAACACGCGCCGGGCAAATCGGCCAATTAGAGATTGAATTAGAGTGATTCCTTGGCCCCGACGTTATCTCCGCGCGCGAGGCTCACGGCGGTCGTTCAACCGTAATGCAATTCACTCTTCAAATGATCGGCCATTAAGAAGGCCACATTTATATCTTTAATAGCGGAACATTCGCACATTTGTACGAGGGGAGATTTCCAAACTGAATGTCGCCTTCCTGCCACTTTCGCGGCAAGAGTTTAATTAATTTATAGAGATATCAAAAGCAGAAGTAAGCTCTCATTTTTGTCGTCTCTTCTTTTCTTAATTACGCCTTATACCTATCAATTGATACAACATCTTACAGCATTATCAAATTAAGACATGATTTTCACCATCAGTGTTGAGCATTGATCAATTAAAACTTTCTTTGACGAAAATAATTGGCAAATCAATAAACAAAATTAATTAATCGTCATATATGTAATCACGAATGACTTAATTAATTGATAAAATTGATTACTAATCTGCATATAATCAATTATATCAAGTTTAATAATTAATTTCATTATTTGGTAAAAGTACTTGTGATTTTATATATTATTCATCAGTAATCAGTAAAGTAATCCTACTTATCATTAACAAATTAATTATCGTTTTATAATAATATATAATTATTTTGATTATTGATTTGCCGATTACCGCAGTCAAAGAAAATTTTAATCCGTTAGTGCCCAACAGTGGAGTCCTATTATAAATTGAATTTCGCCTCAACAAAATTGATACATTCCGTTGCAATAATTTAATGGAGACCAATCTATCTTTAAAAAAGACCGATTGCGTGTCTGTTGAAATCGCGGGTGTCTCAGGTTTTTTACCCTTTCTGCTGCTTCTTTTCAGAGAAATTTCAAATTTGTATATCTATATATGTTATTATATGTAGAGAAAAATAAGTTAAATAATGACAATACAAGACAAATTTATTTTTAATTTGCTGTGAGATACTCTTGATAGGATCGAGAGAGTTAAGTCGTCATAAGAGAGACCCGAATAAACATGAGCCACGTTCGCTTTGGAGACTTTTACGCTGAAACTATTATTCTCTCTTTGTTCGGTGTGCAACAAGAAACGAAGATAGAATGATATTATCAGCACGAGAGCGACCAAAGCGAACGCAGCCTTAATGTAAGGCGGAAATGAGAGTAGAATCGCGTTATGCAACCTCACATTGCACACGGAAAAAGAAAGATTTGGTTGAATTAACCAAATATCTGGTCGAATATGAACGATTCAGAAATTCCGATTGAACTAACCCGAATTCTTAACAAGGTAGACTAACCAAAAATCTTGTTAACTTAAACAGAATTCGGGTTACTTCAATCGGAATTTCTGGATCGAATTTCATATTCGACCAGATATTTGGTTAATTCAACCAAATCTTTCTTTTTTTTCCGTGCAGGATGCCGTCAGCTGATCGTCGGACCACGTGGTCGCCCGACCACGTGGTGATTGACAGCGTAAGCGCTTGCGCGCTGCAAAAGCCGAGCGAGCAAGTGCGGCTATACGGCGCGTCGCGTTCGCTTAGAGCCGAGCAACGCGCGCTGAAACTTTAAAGGGCCATAACGCGAAAACTATTCGACGCAGAGGCGAAACAAAAAGCAATTTTCTCGGCGCGTGATCCCGCGCGCATCGACGATACTCTCTTTACATCGATTTTTGCAGGATTCGCCGCGGCCACATTCTCTGATACGAGAGTAATCCAAAAAGTGAAGACCGTTTAGCTTTAAAAAATTGAGGAAACATTTTATTTTATTCGATTTTATATCTTTTTTAAACAGTACCTTATTCTATTTTTCTGCACATAATCATCTACTTCATTTAAGCATTCGTCATATCTGTTCACGAGGTTTCATATATCGTTGTTACAGTCATCCACTGCCAATCCATTCAACCAATTGCTGATTGCAATTCGTCGTCATTTCTAGTGCGTTTTCCACCTGGGAACTCTTTAAGCTCAGCTCAAGAATCGAACACTCCGTACTTCACAGTCGGCAGGATTTTGTACAGTAGGGTTCATTTTCAATTTCTGTGACGCAAAACGTTCCCAGAAGTACGTGTTAAAGCACATGATTTTCGGGACACTAAAGCTGCGTTCGGGAAGACGCTATTTAGCGCTATGAGTGTGCTCTGTCCTTATTTGTTCCTAAAAATTGAACAAGAACAGAGGACGCTCATAGTGCTAAATAGTGTCTCTCCGAGCGCAGCCTAAGAAAACAGGTAAGCAAAACGAGTCAACCGTAAATTGAGGAGAGGGAATGATCTGCGTAGCAACTATGCGCAAATGGTCTTTACTCTATGGATTACCCTCGTAGATTAATTCACGGAATATTCGCGAATTCTATTTCGCGCTGATGACATGATTTTTATCTCGCGTTTATGATATGATTATGGTGCGATTCCTACTTCATTTGTGCTAGAATTATAACATCTCAAAGAATAGAATAACAATCTCATCCTTAGTGATCCTCATCCTCTCATCCTTTAAATCGTAGAATATCTTACTGTTACATATGACTTCAAGGAAATTCTTCTGAAACCAAAAGAAAAATATTCTCAGCGCAATATTCTTAAAGTCAGAGGGATTTCGTCTGTTACCCACAATACGAGTCTTTCTTGCCGCGTCTTTCGTACCGCGCTAAGACGGCATTCTGCCTCAAAAGAGTAAACATGTTCCTCCTCTCCGATTCAAAAGAAAAACAGAATAATATCTAGTAGATTTCCAAACGCAGAGAGTGCCTGTTTCGTGACAAGAGGAGTGCTTCTTCGTCGGTAAAAGTTTTCGCTTAGAACAGCGGAAATATGACCTTGCAACTAAGACTCCTCTTTTTGCGTGACGATTCCTCTGCTTGCTTCAGCGAGTTCAAGTCACGTGTTTACCTGTCATTGCAAAGCAGCCCGTGCAGTATCCGCGCTTGTATTATTTATCCGACGAAAGATACCTCGTGTGATAGCGAGTTCATCGCGATCGGGGAGGACGGGGGAGGGAATGGTCGGCAACGGGCTGACGTAAAACACGGGTATGCGGGTCCGAGAGGAGGTGCTTCCGAGGGGAATACGTAAACACGCGATAAAGCACGCCTCCATGGATTTTGGCAGGAACTTTCGCAAGTCAGCTAACGCTTTTACGTTCGGCAGGGGCGGCGTATCGCTGGAGACGGAGAAGGGTAAGCGGGGCACCACCAGCAAGCTTCTAATAACGCGCGCCCTCCTTAACGATAGCGGTAATTATACATGCGCGTCGAGCAAAGTCACTCCTGCGAGCGTCATGGTGCACGTACTAAACGGTGAGCAAAATACCGGGGCGCAGTTGCGCCGGTATTGCATGTATGTGTGTATGTGTGTGTGTGTGTGTGTGTGTGTGTGCGCGGCGTGTGGGAGCGATAGTTAATTTCGAAATTCTCCGCCGAGCGAGCGAGAGAGCGCAACGAGATTATCCCCGCGGCACTTTGTGATAAGGGAATATTTGTTTTAATTCCGAGCCACGCGTCGCGCCGCGTCGCGTCGCGTCTGTCGCGACGCGCGAGTTATGTGATACATGCGTGGCGCTCTCTCAGATTTCGCCCTGGGCTTCATTACACTAATGTATTTGGCGTAAATAATGCGGCTCGCCGTTCAAATATTAATTGCCTTTGTGATAACTGCTTAATACGCCGCGACAGGGAATGGAAGAGCGAGCGAGCGAGAGCGAGACAGAGAACGAGAAAGGAAAACTGTTTACCGTGTTCGATAGTAATGACCGCTCTGTGCACGTAATGTTTGTACATCGTGCTGCAAATAGTGCAACGCGGCGCGTTGTCACGTACGTTATTTTAGTCGCGTTAATGGAATGTAAACGCGTGTTGTATAATAATAATTTCTGGTATCGCTGTATTTAATCGTGAGTATTGCTTCGACACTCGTAACGCACGCGCGCACATACACACACACACACACACACACACACACACACACAGAAAAATACCATTCCACTACTAAGAAAAGCGATTACTCAGTTTACATTTCTTCTCTTACGAAATAATTATCTTCAACAAAGAATATTTTCTTGGCCTGAAAATATACTTTCTTATCAGGAATTTGAGAAAAGCTCCTTTGGTCAATGTACTGAAAAGCAGAATTTATTTCCTTTTAGGAACATCACAAAACTTTGTTAAAGAAAAAGTTGGTTCTATGCAGTAGACAAATCGAATTTTTCTTTTAATATTCTTAATTAAAATGCTAAATTTACTAGAATTTAAAATGAATTTTGAATAAAAATTTGTGATAGATATGTGGATATATAAACTTATGAAATACTTGAGAAAACTAACATTCACTTGAATATAATATGTATTTTTGTGCACACACACAGACAAATATCATCTTGTTTTATTGCTACAACAAGAGATTGTACATTCAGTTTAGATTCCTTTTTTAAAGCAATGATTATCTTTAACAAAGGGTATTTTCTTAGTGAAAGTCTGTAAATATACTCTCTCATCACGAATTCGGTAAAAGCTCATTATGAGTATATTCAAAAGATTTTATTCTCTTCACAAGAATATTATAAAACTCTATTCAGGAAAAAGTGAGTTCCATTCCATTGGCTGGTTGATTCGATTAGTAAACAAATCAAATTTATATTCACTTAATACTTTTAATCAAAATGTTAAATTCAGAATGGTTCCATTTTTAATAAATTTGACACTTACGATAAACCTGTGACAGTTTTGCCGATATAAACTCATGGAATATTTGAAACAACTAACACGTACTTGAACGCAGTATGTATTTTTCAGTGTACAGAACGGTTGATTGGCGTGTCTATGTGTAGCCGAGTCTTCCCGGCGCAGCTGACGTTCCCGTAAAAATCTTCAAAAATTACTAGGGACGCGATCCTTTTTCTTTCTCCTTCATTGCGTATCACTTGTCTCGTCTCGTTTCGCCTCGTCTCGTCTCGTCTCGCGCCTCCACTTTCGACGAGTCCTTAATAAATTTAACGTTCGTTAGCGAGCGCATCTGAGAAAGATCGACGAGAGACTCCGTCTCCCGGTAATGATCGCGGAGGGAGCGCGAGGCAGAGACAGAGAGACAGTAAGAGAGAACGGGGAAGAAGCGACGTGTTTCAGCCGTCCGCTGTAATTTTCTTTCCAGGCGAGCATCCTGCAGCGATGCAACACGGCGGCACCGGTGATGCAAATAGGAGACTCATTCTGCTCGTCCTGATTTTCCTCGTCGATACGATGTTTCGGTGAGCGTCGCCGCCGTCGATCTCTCTTCCTCCTTGTGCGCGCACACACACTGGGGGCTACTTCTCAATCATTCGTTCCGAGGACCCGCGCGGGAATATCTGCCGCCGCCGTCGAGGCGATGTAATAATCCACGGGACTGTATATAGCGCGCGATTTTCCGCCAGGGAGAAGCCATACTTCTCCATTTTCGTTCTCATCGTCGTCCCCATCCAGAGGCCGGAATATGTGTTTTAACGCTAATTTAGAGCCACCACTGCTACGTAACGTACGTTCCAGCCGCATCGTCTTAATCGGATCTCCGATTCGCAGCCCCAATCATCCCCTTTTCCAATGCCTTCTCCCTCCCCCACTTTCTCCATTACCTGCTCGCATTTACCTGTCTGGAGACAGGTAAATACCTGTCGCGAATACCCGTCGAATAAGCTGCTCAAATACAATACCCTCGTCCGAGATGTCACACACAGTACGAATGTAACATGTATGTAATATAATAAACCTTTTGGAGTTATACGATCTGTGTGCGTTTTGTGTGTCTGCGTTTGTATCGATTACACAATCCACCACCGTGACAAAAATATCCTCTCGCTGTGTTATTCTCCCTCTCCACTTTTTTTCACAGCCATCCAGTCCGGCAACGTGAAAGCGGCGCGTGATGTTTTTAAAACAAACACATCTCCCTGCGATAATCTTATCCCCGTCGACGCAATGGTATTATCATTTGGCGTGGATGAAAACGTTGTCTCGCGGCAGTTGCTAGACACGAGCGCTGTTGAGCTGTGTAGATCGGCAACAGTAGCCCCCGGAGATTAACACTACAGTGCTCGATGGAGTCGAGCTGGCTCTTTTAAGATCCTCTTGTTATCGCCAATTCTGCTTCTTATGGCTTAGAGAAAAATCTCGTGACATTTAAATGGTTAACATAGTTGAATTTATCCTGGCCAAGAGAATCATTTTAACTCTTCGCTTAATTGTCGGTGTTACAAGGACAGTATGTAAATTATTATTTGAGATTTTTAATTCTGATTGAATTTACATATTATTCTGTGTCAATTCACCAGTCTCTTGATACTAATTGTAGGGGACAAATAAGTAATTATTATGATGCATTTTACCGAAGAAAAATATTTACCGAAAAGTATTTACCGAAGAAAAGAAAGAAATGATAAAGGTTTGGAAAAATTATGAAAATTGTTGTATTTTGTTTACAATATAACATGTCTACATTATGCAAATTTTGAATATTAACACGTTCAGAGAAACCATCATTGATACGAGTAATGAGGAACAGAAAAAGTTTTAAAATATTAGAATCGTAAGGGAGTCAAAATGACTCTTCTGGGCATCCAACGAGGGTTGTCATTCGTGAATATTCAACTCTCTAAAGTATAATCAATGTATTCTTCACTGAAATGCTATAATTAATGTCTAGTAAGTATAAAACTGTAATGAATAGAATCTCGCTGAAGGAATCAAATAATAGTAGTGACTGTTCTCATTATTGACGCATTTTGCAAACGCAGACAGTGTCATTGCACGCGAATCGCATGGAAGCCGTTCATTCCGTCGCCAAAAATGCGTAAAGTTGAATTTGGCAATTACAGCGTGTAACGAATTTATGTACCACAAATTTTGCAGCGAACCGTTATTTCTACTCGTGAAAATCAATGAGACATAAAATGAGACATGGGTGTGTTTTTACTGAAAATCAGTGAATATATACTCGCCGATGAGATAGTCGTTTCGCTGCACTGCAAATCCGAGTGTGTTATTTTTAAACGTATAAGCGTATAATTAGCTGGAACTCTCTTCACACGTTTCTTGCGGTTTTAGATCATGTCATTTAACACATTTATGAAATGTAAATAAAAAGTTTATACGTTAAATGACGTGACTTAAGACAGTAAGAAACACGTAAAAGAAAATTCAGCCAATTACACGCTTATGCGTTTAAAAATAACACTCTCGGATTTGCAGTGTCATCGAATCAGAAACATTTTTACCGATTCCACTCTAAGAGAGTACCGTTAATCGTGTACATCTTTGGACTCGACGTATACCTCAGCAGTGAACACTCCAGCAAGAACCCTCGTCCCACCTGATTCCCCTTAATGCACTTTCGACGAGGTTTACCGGGATCAATTGGTCCCCCCGTCGTGCTCGGAATTCTTCCTTGTTGCGGTCTAATAAAATTACAGGCGGCCCACCGACACGTGCGCGATCTCGCGAATGAAATTCAGCCGCGCCAGCTGGAGCGGGGTACATAACTTCGCCCGAGCCGTGTGGTACAATAAATCGCGATGTGCAGTGCTTCGTAATATTTCGCGGTCCGGGCACAATGCCGTGCTATACCGACGCGACCGATGCACTCGGTGTGCAACCGATACAGGGAGCCGCGGTCGGCCGTTACCGCAGCGGCGGCGTTAAGTGCAGTTAAGGATCGGAAGAAACTCATCCATGGGAGAAAGAGAGAGAGAGAGAGCACGCGCGTGACGCGCCTTCTCGATGCGTCCTCGGGCGTCCGGATGCGGCCACAAAGGGTCAGCGGGGGTCGTAGAGCGCGGTCTAGCTGGTATATAGCGGTCCATGAACGGAGAATTCGCGTCCGGAATCATCGCCGTTACCCTTTACCTGCTCGAGCTCGATAATGGAACGGCAGTACTGACGTACGAACGGGCGTTGTCCCCCTCCCTCCCCTCCTTTCCGCCCCCGCGCCGTTCTGGCGCGAGTCCCGCGGGAGTTGCGGATCCTGTCCGGTCTCATTTTATGCAAATCGCGCAGGAGCATCTGTTAGACGACTCCGCTTCGCGGCGGAGTCCTCCCGCGTCGCCGTCGATGCAAATTCATGGCGAGCGCGAAACTGGGATCACCTCCTCCTCCTCCTCCTCCTTCTCCTCCTGTTCTACTCGCGAATTCTGTCGTCGTCGTCGTCGTTGTGGTCGTCGTCGTCGTCGTCGTCGTCGTTGTGGTCGTCGTAGCCGCCGTCGTCCAAGAATCTCCGTGTTGTGCTCCTACCTTCTCTGTCGCGATACCCTTTTCCCGCCGGGGAAACCCAACGCGCAAAGTGTAAAGCGAAAAAGCTGGGCGGAGAGAGCGCGGCCGTGGCGTTAGCGGATGCCCGAAAATGCTACGTGCTCCTGCGAAATTAGAGGCAAAAAAGGAAGCCGGGGAAGAGTCGTGGCGGAGCCTCTTCTCCATTACGAACGAGCGCGGGCGTCGGGACGCGCCGAGACACGTTAAGAGCATAAGTGGATACGAAGGATGCGGCTTGATTAACGTCGGGAGAACGTTCGCCGGATATTCAGATGTACGAGCCTTGCGCTGCCGTCGTGTTTTCTCGTGAACCGCCGGGAGCATAAAAATTTATCACGCACGCAGGAGATTTGTGGCAAAGGCGCGTATTTTCCGTTAACGACGTCGGAAAGCTCTTTCTCTCTTCCTCTTTCTTCCTCTCGAGAGAGATATGAATGTTTCCCGCAAATATCTCACGAACAGTCCGATCAGACACGAAACATCATCGCGCGAAACTCGGCGAGAAGTCGAGTCCCTCCGCGCAGAGTCATTCGTCAAATTTATTCGCGGATATTTTTAGCCGACCTCAAAACAGCAGGTTCTCAGTTTGTTCTCCGTGTGTGTGTGTATTTGCTTGCTTTTAATTATCTTCAATAAAGGTCTTCAATAGATTCTCTGGTATATAGATTTGTTTGTTTGTTCTTTCATAACGCAAGTATCGGAGATATCGAGAGAAAACGATTTGTTATTTATTCAATATGTTATTTACATGGTTCTTGAATTAGATATTATTGAAAAAAAAAAAATTTGATATTTGTAATCATATAGAGAAATAATTACTATATATTATAGTCAAAGGAACTATTTTTTCTTTATTAAACTCTATTGTGATGTTAGCAGTAATAACTTTATATATATATCTATTACAATTTTCATGTTAGAACAACAAAAAAATATGATTAAGGTAAAAAATAATTGTGTTCAATTAAACCAATCATCTTTTTTGTTTCTCAGCGCATTACTTTCTTGAAAATCTGAGAACATCTGGAGATATAGGAGAAAATTTTTATTCTTCACTGATTTCTTAAGGGAGGACTTTTTTAACAGACTTCAATAACAAACTTGCAATAAATAATTGAAAAATACGAAATAGAAAGCTTTTTTAACGAAAATAAATTGCGTTTAAAAATCTCAGAAACCTTAGAATAAAATAAAGTATGAAATAATTGTGATTCAATATTCCTATATTCCTATATCCATTTGCAATTCTATCCTAATAATGTAATATTTTAAAAGTCAGTACAAAAAATTAAATAAAATTAAATACATAATCAATAATTGCACACAAGGAAATAATAAATATAATAATAAAAAGAAGGATATGTTTATTGACTCAATCACTCAGATTTTTGCACTAACTTCTGATATTGTTAGAATATTGAAATAAAATTGTACATATAGAAAAATATATATTGCATTCAGTTACCAAGTGCAAAATAGATTTGTAAAATATTGATTCAAAATCATTTAATATTTTTTAGGAGATTTTTGGGAGACGGTTTGTATATTTTTTTCGTCTTGTGAAACGTTATTACTGTAGTTTTTTGACCAAAAGGCCAGCGAAAGTTTAACGGCTCTAAGAGTCCTATATCTCGACGAAAGTTACGCGCGACCGCAAAAGCTCGGTCGGTTGATCGAATTTTTGGACGCGCCCGCGTTGTCGCTCGAGCGAGTATCGCTGTAATGAACGAGTTTACGCCGTAATCGCGTAAAGCTTTTGAACGCAAAGCAATTTCCCCGAATATTCCGCGGGAAAATCCCGGCACGCGATGGCACCGAAAAGCCATGGAAAACTCATTCCCGTCACAGCCCCACACGACTACGATCCTGTCCATCACATCTGGTTTTGGACCGCTGATAATATTTATAATATTAATGCACGATCTGCTTTATTATGCCGGGAAAGTGCACAATCCCTCCCCTCTCCTCTCTCTTCCTCAGTGGAGTCCCCGAGGACTGTATTAATAGTCATTGCTTGAAACTTGCCTCAGGATACTCAGTTTTGAATTTAGAGCTAGGATAATTGTCCAATATTACTGTATCTATTTCTATTAATGTGTGCTTTTCTATTTAAATAAGCCATAAAGAGAAAACTAGCATAAATAAATAGAAAAAGTATTTTTTTTACAACTAAGTTGAAGTATTAAACTTAATAAAAATACCTTTTCTATTTATTTATATTAGTTTTTTTGTAGCTTATTCAAATATAATACAAAGGAACACTAATAGTAAACACTAACAGTAATATCAGTAACAGACAGTTATTCTAGATGTGAAACTTTCAGCTGAATTGCGACTGGAGATATAATGTCGCATATATTATGTGATTCAAGTAGAAAAACTCAAATGTAATTCTAAATTCATATCTGAGTACCTCACGTAGGACAGGTTTCAGGTAATGACTATTAATACGGCTCTCCGAGCTCTCCAACGCGACATTTTTC